GCCAATCATGTGACAAAGGACACTCCTAGTCCTAGTCCGGTCAACGAGATCTCTTGCCATTCTAACTTAGGCCAATCATGTGACACAGGACACTCCTAGTCCTAGTCCTAGTCCAGTCAACGAGATCTCTCGCCATTCTAACTTAGGCCAATCATGTGACACAGGACACTCCTAGTCCTAGTCCAGTCAACGAGATCTCTCGCCATTCTAACTTAGGCCAATCATGTGACAAAGGACACTCCTAGTCCTAGTCCAGTCAACGAGATCTCTCTCCATTCTAACTTAGGCCAATCATGTGACAAAGGACACTCCTAGTCCTAGTCCGGTCAACGAGATCTCTCGCCATTCTAACTTAGGCCAATCATGTGACAAAGGACACTCCTAGTCCTAGTCCGGTCAACGAGATCTCTCGCAATTCTAACTTAGGCCAATCATGTGACAAAGGACACTCCTAGTCCTAGTCCAGTCAACGAGATCTCTCGCCATTCTAACTTAGGCCAATCATGTGACAAAGGACACTCCTAGTCCTAGTCCGGTCAACGAGATCTCTCGCCATTCTAACTTAGGCCAATCATGTGACACAGGACACTCCTAGTCCTAGTACGGTCAACGAGATCTCTCGCCATTCTAACTTAGGCCAATCATGTGACAAAGGACACTCCTAGTCCTAGTCCGGTCAACGAGATCTCTTGCCATTCTAACTTAGGCCAATCATGTGACACAGGACACTCCTAGTCCTAGTCCTAGTCCAGTCAACGAGATCTCTCGCCATTCTAACTTAGGCCAATCATGTGACACAGGACACTCCTAGTCCTAGTCCGGTCAACGAGATCTCTTGCCATTCTAACTTAGGCCAATCATGTGACACAGGACACTCCTAGTCCTAGTCCTAGTCCAGTCAACGAGATCTCTCGCCATTCTAACTTAGGCCAATCATGTGACACAGGACACTCCTAGTCCTAGTCCGGTCAACGAGATCTCTTGCCATTCTAACTTAGGCCAATCATGTGACAAAGGACACTCCTAGTCCTAGTCCAGTCAACGAGATCTCTTGCCATTCTAACTTAGGCCAATCATGTGACACAGGACACTCCTAGTCCTAGTCCTAGTCCAGTCAACGAGATCTCTTGCCATTCTAACTTAGGCCAATCATGTGACACAGGACACTCCTAGTCCTAGTCCTAGTCCAGTCAACGAGATCTCTCGCCATTCTAACTTAGGCCAATCATGTGACACAGGACACTCCTAGTCCTAGTCCAGTCAACGAGATCTCTCTCCATTCTAACTTAGGCCAATCATGTGACAAAGGACACTCCTAGTCCTAGTCCGGTCAACGAGATCTCTTGCCATTCTAACTTAGGCCAATCATGTGACACAGGACACACCTAGTCCTAGTCCGGTCAACGAGATCTCTCTCCATTCTAACTTAGGCCAATCATGTGACAAAGGACACTCCTAGTCCTAGTCCGGTCAACGAGATCTCTCGCCATTCTAACTTAGGCCAATCATGTGACAAAGGACACTCCTAGTCCTAGTCCGGTCAACGAGATCTCTCGCAATTCTAACTTAGGCCAATCATGTGACACAGGACACTCCTAGTCCTAGTCCAGTCAACGAGATCTCTCGCAATTCTAACTTAGGCCAATCATGTGACAAGGGACATGCTATACGTCTAAAGATTGATGTCAGCAACCAGCTGGTTATCGAGGGATGGACACTCTGTATACTCAGGAGAAGTCACCATGATGTAAGGACCTGTGGATACGTTACATATCTAGATCACTGGATCTGAAACTAGCAGAGTAAACTGAGAGCCTTAAGGGCCAGCACATTTCAAAAACTGTAGGCCCAGTGGAAAAACTGTAGGCCCTGTGGAAAAACTGTAGGCCCAGTTGAAAAACTGTAGGCCCATTTGAAAAACTGTAGGCCCTGTGGAAAAACTGTAGGCCCAAACATTTTAGCTGAAGCAGGGAGACATACACTTGCAATTTAAATTACAAAACACAATCAGTCAACCAGAAGCCTTGACAGCTATCACACCGAGTTCCCACAGACGCAGTTGTGATAGATGAAGCCTACATTTATCAGGAAATCATTAGCTTGTAAAACATCTTTGCGACTACATGTCAAACACCATTCGAAAGGTCTAATCCTACCACTTATAAACATGAAAGTTATGTTTATCACATTTCTTAAATAATGCTTAATAAATAATTACCTGAACAAACTGTAGGCCATAAGGGCTTGCTGAAATTTAAAACTATCAGCCTGAGAACAAATCTGTCGGTCTCGGACCTACGGGCCAGCCGATGTCTATTTCAAACTGTGACCCAGTGCATCCTATGGCGTATCCTTGTCACATGATCACCACTAAGAGCAGAAACTCCAGCATTACAACATCTACACTGGAATGGACACAAACCCTGGAGCGGAGTACCCCTTTAATAGCTCATTGAAGAAACAAGCATACCTGCACAACAGGAGAGACTAGACCCCCTACAACAAGTCTGACATAGCATTCTTCATCTCTTTAAAGTAATATCTCTATAAGAAATGATGGACACAAGACCCTAGAGCTGGAGGGAGAGAAATAGCTTGTGCTTGAGACAACAGGATCTTACTGACCAGCAAAGTGTAACACTCTCTGTCTTGTGTTACAGAGTCTCTGGGACAATATCTTCAGATGCAAAATGCTGTACAAGATGTCTACATGGTTTTCAAGAAGAATTTTCTAATATTTGATCAGGAGCAAGTCTTTGATCCAAGTGATTTTGATGTCTTAAACAGCAAAAAGGTGCTGACAAAAGGTCAAATGTATTATTGACCACAAAAAGGGCCTTAGCTTAAATGTTTAAACAAAAATCAGGTTAAAGGTTAAAGGTTAAAGGTTAAAGGAAGCTTCCGTTGTAGGGAACACAGCTTTTCACATTTGTTTTAATTCTAATTTTGTCATCCAAAAAACTATTTAGACAGACGAAAAATAGGACGAAAAATAGGACGAAAAACCTAATCTACATGATCAGTGCACACACAAGACTGTAAGAGAATTTTAACATATGCCTTGGATAAGAGCCTTCATACTAACAATCATGTAGATCCGCTTCATGTCAAAGATTTGTTCAAGTAAATCAAAGTAAACATTCAACATTCTCCATCCATCACTACACACAACAAGGGGACTTGATAAACATCCACATTCAACGTTCAATTGATGACGATGAGAAACAAAGTCTCCAAATATAAAAAACTAGATTTAGGAAAACATGAAATTCTCTCCTCCCTACAACAACACTGGCAATTTGTGAAGCTGAGCACTCAGTGTTAAAGCAGGTGATCCACCCGAGTGAACCCCTTCTTACTGTCATACGAAGCTCTGGTGTGGACACTCAGTGTTAAAGCAGGTGATCCACCCGAGTGAACCCCTTCTTACTGTCATACGAAGCTCTGGTGTGGACACTCAGTGTTAAAGCAGGTGATCCACCTGCGTGAACCCCTTCTTACTGTCATACGAAGCTCTGGTGTGGACACTGAGTAACAGGCACGCATAATCTCTACCAACACAATATGCTGCATAAACCATTGTTCATGTTGCTCAGGTCAGTGATAACAATATTATTTAGGAAACTATTTCTGTCATGAAATGATTCAAGGTCATGTGTGTCATGATTAGAGCCAATCAAAAATTACAAATTCATGAACATTGCATCTATGGTAGTTTTAGAATTGAAAGGGTCACTAGGCTCAAGCCTTCAGAATTGGCTGGCTTTTTCAAGGTGTTTCATGTTGAGCAGTGGGCAGGCTGACTGTCCTAAACATGACACAGCATGTCCACTCCTCCTACAGTGTCACGTCCTCTCAGTTGCCTCAGCCAGCCAATCAGCTCCAAGCAGCTGATGAGCTCATGGGGGCAGTGTCACGTCCTCTCAGTTGCTTCAGCCAGCCAATCAGCTCCAAGCAGCTGATGAGCCCATGGGGGCAGTGTCACGTCTTCTCAGTTGCTTCAGCCAGCCAATCAGCTCCAAGCAGCTGATGAGCTCATGGGGGCAGTGTCACGTCCTCTCAGTTGCTTCAGCCAGCCAATCAGCTCCAAGCAGCTGATGAGCCCATGGGGGCAGTGTCACGTCCTCTCAGTTGCTTCAGCCAGCCAATCAACTCAGCTGATGAGCCCATGGGGGCAGTGTCACATCCTCTCAGTTGCTTCAGCCAGCCAATCAGCTCCAAGCAGCTGATGAGCCCACGGGGGCAGTGTCACGTCCTCTCAGTTGCCTCAGCCAGCCAATCAGCTCCAAGCAGCTGATGAGCCCATGGGGGCAGTGTCACATCCTCTCAGTTGCCTCAGCCAGCCAAACAGCTCCAAGCAGCTGATGAGCCCATGGGGGCAGTGTCACGTCCTCTCAGTTACTTCAGCCAGCAAATCAACTCCAAGCAGCTGATGAGCCCATGGGGGCAGTGTCACGTCCTCTCAGTTGCTTCAGCCAGCCAATCAGCTCCAAGCAGCTGATGAGCCCATGGGGGCAGTGTCACGTCCTCTCAGATGCCTCAGCCAGCCAAACAGCTCCAAGCAGCTGATGAGCTCATGGGGGCAGTGTCACGTCCTCTCAGTTGCCTCAGCCAGCCAATCAGCTCCAAGCAGCTGATGAGCCCATGGGGGCAGTGTCAGCACAGAAGCCAGAGCCTAGTGCTCCTTTAATGAATTTATGCTACTTAAGCATTTAATCATTGTACAAACAAAAGCAAATATGAAAACATAAAACATAACTGAGTTTCTAATCCAAATATTATAGGTTTGTTTTAAAACAGTTTTAGAAGCTCAGTCGTAACAGTTGCTATTTTCTTTTCCTGACATGCTCATAACACACATTGTGGCCATATATGTTGCGTGGTGATTCTTATATTCATGTGCAAAGATGACCTTAAAATATAAATATTTCAACATGCATATTTCTTTGCATTAACTAGAAATTGGGATTAAATTGGAATAATTTCAAAGTTTGACAACAACTGGCTGTACAGTTTAATTACAAACATAACGAGTCAGTAGCAAGGCTATTAACAGTTAAGTAACATGCAAGAAACATCTTTAATACCTAGGAACTGATGTCATCAACAAGTGGAGAAATGAAAGACCAGTTTAACAGCGTAAGTAGGACATGGGGAATTATCACAGAAACAGGAAATAGACAATGCTGAATGCAACATCATGATATGTCTGTGAGCCATCAACAGCTGACTTAACATGAGCGTTTCATCGGCTGTACAACCCAAATGTCTTCGGTTACCAACAGAGAACTGTATCAAACCTTGGTTCTAACCAGAAAAGGTTCCGGTTGGAACAAAGGCAACTATCTCCAGGGTTTGTTCGGCCTATTTGTTTCAATATGGCGCCACTCTTCCCAATCTTCTCTCATCATGGTTTGGGTTAATTATATCACGTCGATACCCACCAATGTCAGGAGCCACAAACAATCAACCATGTTTGACCTTGAAAAATCAAAAGGGCCATCTTGTGGATGTTGGTTAAGAACACTGCTCTGGTTAATACCACAGCTAGCAACACTCCAGTCGTAACTAGTGGACAGGACAGTAGGGTCAATGAAACACAGAGATGCCCAAGACGGACACGTGTTGTGCAATAGATAGGAAGTCAGAGGAGGAGGTAAGATCATGGCAATTGTCACCAACAGGATGCCACCTAAAGCAGTTTTCTCTTGAAGTCAAATCCTAATTAAACTACTAGGCTATTCAAAGGCTAGTTGTCAGCTGTGTTGTCTCAGGATTTCAAACTTCCATAGAACCTTACAATTTGACTTTTTCAGTGAGCCATTAGTACCTGTATTCTACCTCGTCCAATGGATTCCAATACTCTACTACTACAACACTGTGACATGCATGTCCTGATATCTTGACATTTGGACTGCTAATACAATGTTCTTCAGAAACATTTCCCAACAATATTTCGTTCACTGAATAAAGTTCTTAGGGGAATAATTTAGATACATTCTGTCTTGACAAAGTAGAGTTAATTAATGCCTTTATTTACTGTAAAGGCAATGTTTCGGTATTGTTCTTATACCGTTGTCATTGCAAACATCGCCTTTACAGTTAATAAAGAAGTTATCCATATGTTATCTCTACTTTGTCATCCGTCAACTTCAAAGTTATACCTATCAAACAGTTCATATTCTGTCTTGATGGAATTTCCCAAACAATCATTTCATAGAATTCTGTTCACCGATAATTTCATAAAATAATTATCAAATTATTTGGAACTAAGAAATATCTGGACTGAAATAATACCATTTGCTGAAACACACAAGCAGGAAAATATACCTTTTATGAATATGATATAGTTAATGTTTCTACATAACAATATTATGTCAAATCATATCTCATTGTTGCAGGTTTACCTGTCAACTTGTCAAACTGCTGAAATGTCATTTACCCACCACGCCCACTGATTCTCTGTTGAGGTAAACCACTTGTTGTTGAATACGTTGATGAGTCATCTCAAGTTGCGGAAACAATTGAGAACAGAGAGTAGTCCAGTGTTGAGCAGTGTCTGCGAGGTGCAGCTTGAAGAAACAATCACAGCAGGGGTAGAGAAGAGGGCGGGGCACCCTTGAGGAGAAGGCGGGGCCACTAGGCGGAGAGTCCAGTGGAGGATGGGCGTGTCCAGAGTCAATCAGCTGCACGTTTTCACCATTGGAAAATTGAAGACCTGTTCATATCAATGTGGCTCATGCTTGTCACTGATACATTGGCTGACAAACATGAACTTAAATGGCAGGATCTGTCACCATAGCTGCCAATTTTCCCAGTTTAGTATTTTCCAACAATCTTCTTTAACTGACAACAAAGCCAGACGATATGAATCGACTACAATACAATACAGCCATGTGATTCCGAAACTCAGTTCATAATTTTAAAGTTTGTTTCTATCTCGACTTAAGCAACTTTCAATAATACCGTGGAGTGTCTCAATTGAACAAATGCAACCCTATAAATATGATGATATACCAGTCGATAAACATGAAGCATTTATAGCTGACGGTGTAAGGCTAAATAATGACCCTCTCTTTATCAGTGTCTATGAAAATTGAAACCTTGTGATATTTTTATGTAGATTGGCATATTCTTAACAGGAATTAAGGACAAAAGTTGCAAATTCGTAACAAAAACATTAAAAAAATGGGACAGTTGGCAGCTATTTGTCACGAATCAAACCTGAAAGTCCACGACGAGCCATGACAAACTTGAAACAGCAAAGGGTTGAAACTGTGGGTATTTCACAGCAAGCCTATTTCCACAGCTTGTTCACAACGCCGGTGTCACACATACATAGGCTACACACCCTTTTACATCACGTCCCAACCCATACTGACGAGGCATGTCAAAGAACGACACGGCTCAACCTGACAACAACGACAGCTTGTTCCTTCACAAGTCCTCCGGAGGCCATTGCTACCTAAGCAGTTGAACACAGCGTGACATGGGCATTGTGGTTCAGACAGAGGTTGTCCTCCCGAGGGTGTCACCAAGATGAACAGCCATGCCCAGTCACAGATCCAGCAGTGGGTGGGCGTGTCTGTCCCTGACGGTGGCTCACCCATCCTCTTCTTCTGGGTAGGGGATATCTGGCTCAGCATCGACTGGTGGGGTTCCGTCTCTGGATGTGCTGCTTTGCTCGGGGGGTGGGGAGCTGCAATAGAGGTCGGAGATCAGTGGTTAATAAATGAACTTGATACTGACCAGTTGAACCTAGAAGGGTCTTGAACTAAAATTTGTATTACAAAATAATCACAATAACTTTTAAACAATAAATAAAAAAATATTATGACAAAGAGATAAGTGAATTTTATTTATGAATTATGTTTTTCAAAACACAATAACTGAGGTCTCTTCCAACATTTTCTAATAAATTCATATCAGGAGACGCCACACTGTTTTACGCCACACTGCCTTGTACCACGACACAATCTTAGCACTAGGACTATCACAACTCCCATACTCTAACACAGACTAACGACCACCATGGTGTTATGACTGAAATCTTAGCACTAAGACTATCCCAACTCCCATACTCTAACACAGACTTACGACCACCATGGTGTTATGACTGCAATCTTAGCACTAAGACTATCACAACTCCCATACTCTAACACAGACTTACGACCACCATGGTGTTATGACTGCAATCTTAGCACTAAGACTATCACAACTCCCATACTCTAACACAGACTTACGACCACCATGGTGTTATGACTGCAATCTTAGCACTAAGACTATCACAACTCCCATACTCTAACACAGACTTACGACCACCATGGTGTTATGACTGCAATCTTAGCACTAAGACTACCACAACTCCCATACTCTAACACAGACTTACGACCACCATGGTGTTATGACTGCAATCTTAGCACTAAGACTATCACAACTCCCATACTCTAACACAGACTTACGACCACCATGGTGTTATGACTGAAATCTTAGCACTAAGACTATCCCAACTCCCATACTTACGACCACCATGGTGTTATGACTGCAATCTTAGCACTAAGACTATCACAACTCCCATACTCTAACACAGACTTACGACCACCATGGTGTTATGACTGCAATCTTAGCACTAAGACTATCACAACTCCCATACTCTAACACAGACTTACGACCACCATGGTGTTATGACTGCAATCTTAGCACTAAGACTATCACAACTCCCATACTCTAACACAGACTTACGACCACCATGGTGTTATGACTGCAATCTTAGCACTAGGACTATCACAACTCCCATACTCTAACACAGATTTACGACCACCATGGTGTTATGACTGCCTTGTGGAAGAGGTCCAAGGCTGGAGCAGATACCCCAGTGGTTGATGACATGAAGACTCAAAATGAATACCCAAATAACAATTGCATGTCAAGCCAATCAGAAGCCCATTCAACAAAGTGATTTCAGCACTAAGGTGATCATAACTCCCGTCATTTAACATAAACTTGCCATAGATGTATCTTAAGTGATCTTAACGCTAAGGTGATCACAACTCCCACAGACTTAGTGACATTACTAAGGTCGCTGTATGACGATTGTAAGAAACTGATTCCTATTGTCACTGCCTCTTATGGGAGGTGAAATGGGGTTTAATGTCACATCAAAGATTATTGCACTTATGTTAAAATGTGCATGCACGTGTGTGTGTGTGTGTGTGTGTGTGTGTGTGTGTGTGTGTGTGTGTGTGTCTGCTTGTAATAGTCTGGACTAATGCTGATTTCATAGTGCTAGCCCACTGAGATACCATGCTACAGTTTAACAATATTACCCCAATCAGACACACAATACTGACTCCAAGCTGACCAGTCCTTGTCCCTTAATGCCAAGCGCAAGGCAGGGTAACAACAAGTACTTTTAATCTTTTAATGTATTTTGGTATGACACAACCGGAGATCGAACCCACGACCTTCCGCTCTCCGGGCAGACGCTCTACCATGAGACCAGGGAGGCAGTCTCTGCCTCTTATGACAGAGATGGAAAGAGGCAACTTACACAAAGATGGGGAACAAAGCATATGGGCAAAGTTGATGTGACTAAGCAAAAGAATCCACTATAAGCAATATGACATTCAGCTGACGTATGTAGAGTAGATTGTATAAGCAAAGGTGGTGCAGACAACTAACGTCACACTTGTGAAAAAATACATGACACAGAGAACAGGAAACACAGCATCATGGGTTTAGCATACAGGCCCACATTCCACCAAGCGATCATAGTGCTACAACTGTCGTAAGCTGATGTTAAAGCATGGGAGTTACAATCATCTTAGTGCTAAGATTGGTTTGTGTAACCTATCCCAGGGCTACATTCAACATAGTCATCTCAGCACTACGACCGCACAGCAAACTGCGGCGCCTTTAACGACTGGGGCCTCAACACTAAGTAAGTATAGTGAGTGAGTGAACTGAGGCCCAAAGCTGACTTGAGCAGTTTTTTAGTCACATCATCATCATCATCATGATGGTGCATCAGCTTAACGTTGGAAGAAGGCCGAAAGTGACACAGGTCATGAACGGAAGCCCTTTAGTGAATGTAGGAATCAAGGATATGGTACTGACAACCCAAGGATCATAATCTGATTATCACGGGTAAATCTGGGATTACAACACACAAGCCAAATCATCGAGCTTGTCCTCCCATCCACTAAATCCACTCTGACGACCAGCATCGGTTGCTGGGGCCCTATTCTAACCCGGAATCTTTACAAGTTACTGGGGTACTGTTAGTAGAAGGAGAAGGAGATCACACAATTGGGATCCGATGACATGCATCAACCAAGTCAGCGAGTCTGACCACCCGATCCCGTTATTCGACTCTTACAACAAGCATAGATTGCTAAAGACCTATTCTCTACCCAGATCTTCACGAGGATGTAATATTAGTAGAAGGCTACAGAGATCTACACTAGGAGAAAGGCATGAAACAAGCCAGGCTACATGTTATATATGCAGGATGTACCTTCATCTCATTAGCATTGACACAATGGTTGGATCTCTGAAAGCACCAATCACAGCATGCCAGAATCACAAGACAACAAGCAGAAATCACATTCTAGAGTCAGTCACAGCATACAATTTAGTTCTAAACAAAATCAAATGCAGAGATGCCACCCAGAAATTGAAGAAATTCGGAGTACCTGGGACAACTGGGGTGTGAAATAAACTGTTACGCTTGGATGATTTCAACATCTTTTGTATTGCATTTATCACCCAAACCCAAGTTAAAACTGGTGATTATGTGTGATTATAACATGGTTGTATATGTGACAATGCAGTGAGGTCAATAACCAGGCTAAATCACTGGTTGTTTTGTCTTACAAAATTTGTAATAAAGGTCACTTGGGAGTATTGGCAGAATTTGGTCAAAAACATCCTAAAGAATCCATCGAAATCATAATGGATGGCATCTCTGGTAACGTGTCAAGGCTCACAAGTGCAGGTGAGACTGTTAATGTACAAGACTGTACCACTAACACAGGACACTCATTCAGTGGATCACAGCATCTCTGGTAACGTGTCAAGGCTCACAAGTGCAGGTGAGACTGTTAATGTACAAGACTGTTAATGTACAAGACTGTATCACTAACACAGGACACTCATTCAGTGGATCACAGCATCTCTGGTAACGTGTCTAGGCTCACAAGTGCAGGTGAGACTGTTAATGTACAAGACTGTATCACTAACACAGGACACTCATTCAGTGGATCACAGCATCTCTGGTAACGTGTCAAGGCTCACAAGTGCAGGTGAGACTGTTAATGTACAAGACTGTATCACTAACACAGGACACTCATTCAGTTGATCACAGCATCTCTGGTAACGTGTCAAGGCTCACAAGTGCAGGTGAGACTGTTAAGAATCTAGAAGGTGCACTCCCTTAACTGAACAGACCACTACAAAGAACAAACAATCATTACAATTATTGTTCAAGGGTTCAAATGCTGATTGATGGATTTTCTAAAAAGGCCAAAACATACTATTCTACATTTCCTGAGACAGGTTCTTAAGGACTTCAATGTTGAATGTTTGGAATAGACCCGGAAGACAGGCCAATCATGTGTGAATTCTACAAGGCCTTGATGTCACTTTCTCCAAACACTGATTACAAAACGTATGTCTGAAAGCATTTATTTGTATTTTCATACCCTTCGTCCCAACCAACAGCTTGAGCAAGTAGGATTAAGAACTGGAGCCAAAAGGTTTAAGAGTTACCTGATTCCTCCATCTAATTATGGCTTTAATTCGAACTTTCTTTTAATTTTATTTTGACCACTGACCCATGGTTTGAAGGAATAAAATCTGAAAGAAATGTCCGACTTGGTTATATTTCACACATCAAACAGAGAAAACTTACAACATACTGGTCCTAGCAAACATTCTGGGGTACATTATGTTGAAATGCTCAGGAAAGGTTTTAGCTGTGCAACAGACTACCATGTCTAAGACAATATTTATGACACAGTATGCACCGAAAATAAAGGCAGGAAATTACAGAGCACAATACAGTTCACAAAACCACATCAAACTGTGACGACGGTGAAATGCACACCCATCAATAGCAGGCATCAATGAATGACAGCTTGGCACACCAGTTACCTACCCTAATTGCATGCACAAGCTGCCATATATCTCTGTTAGCATGAAGTGAAGAAAACAGATACATTGTAGAACATGGTTAAATTCAAACAGGACTTTAGGTTCAGATTTCAATTGGTTATAATCCTTTTGACACCAGATTTCAAATTCAAAGATGTCCCTACACAAGATCATATTACAATGTACAACAGTGCAAATCAATGTAACACATAACGGCAAGCAGTTGTGTCCTGTAGAACTTCAATCAGTTCAACTTATTTATGTTTGGCTCTGATCACTTCGACATTCAGTTGCCATGAGAACCAATTGTGTTTATTTTGTTAGCCTGGGGTACTTCCTACTAAAGTAAGGTTCCAACTACCGTATTCACCATAGTAAGCCCCTGACCAACTTCTAGACCTATCTGTTAGTAAGCTTTACAAGCACCCCAAGAAGACCAAAAGTGACAGTGCCTATTTTCTGGTGTATATGACATGATACCCAACAGAGAACAGCAGCTCAGAAGGGCTTTATAATTACAATGGGATTATTATTGACAAAGATTTAGTTTCATCAACATTTGAACTACTGCTCGATCTCAGTAACCTTTTGTGTTGTCTTACTAAGCACCCATCACCTTTGTCCATTTTCTAAGCACCACGGAGCTCATTACGGGGAATACATTAGGTTCCAAGGGTATGTTATGTCAGTAAAGGGTGCACTCCATTCCCATGCCCGGCATGGGTTGACGTAAACAACCTACCTATCTGCTGCATCAGCGGACAACTGTCGACCCTCCTTCTCCGTCTTCCTCTGATAGTGAGACCTGAAACAAGGCACAGCAGCATGGTAGTAGTAGTAATAATAATAATAATAATAATAAGATCCTGGCATGCCAAGGGACACAACTTTTCACAGGACCTTAGACCACTGGGCTACCATAACAATCTGGGCTTCAAACCATGACCAGCAGATCCTGGCATGCCAAGGGACACAACTTTTCACAGGACCTTAGACCACTGGGCCACCATACTGGAGGTGAAGACACACCTGTATCTCTGCTGGATGATCACGGACTGGTTGCGGCCCTTCTTCAGTCTCTCCGGTCCTTGTCGCTGCAGGCCAGCCGCAGGGTCTCGGTTCTTCTTGAGACGTTTCTGTGCGTAGTAACTCCGGAACTGATTCTGGATCAACACTGCTGCCTGGGTCATCTTCTTGAAGTATGCATACTGAAATATACAGAGTGTGTGAGTGGGTGAGTTGGGTTTAACGCTGCTTTGTGCAGTATTTTAGTTGTATCACTGAAAGTATGCCTAACATGGCAGAAAAAATCAAACCACGTAGGCGGTCTCCGGGCAGAAGCTCTATCCACTAGACCACGTAGGCAGTCTCCGGGCAGATGCTCTATCCACTAGACCACATAGGCAGTCTCCGGGCAGATGCTCTATCCACTAGACCATGTAGGCAGTCTCCGGGCAGATGCTCTATCCTATAGACCACTCAGGCAGTCTTCGGGCAGATCCTCTATCCACTAGACCACATAGGCAGTCTCCGGGCAGATGCTCGATCCACTAGACCATGTCATCAGTCCTTACCAACATGAAAGAGTGTCAGATAACTTTCTAACAGTATTTGTATTGCCTCTGATGCAGGAGTGATAACTAGAACTGACAAATTCACCGAAGGTTCATGGCAGAGCAATACTTTGTGCCAGGAGTCCGCCAGTACCTGTTTGTATCGCCGATAGTAGCTCTGGATCAAGATGGCGGCTTCTATCTCCTTCTGTCGCTGCTGCTGCAGTTGTTGTTTATCCCGATACAGCCGATACGCATTCTGGATCACCTTGGCAGCCTCGTACAGCTTTCTCTGTTCCTGATCTGAATAGAGAGAAGGATACTTATGAAGTGGTAGAAGAAGATTATTGTTAAATAATTCCAGCCTTATCAGTGCGATCTCTTGACAACCAAGTCTGAATGACTAAGTCAGTGGTTGATAATAGGATCATTATATATTCAGGGTACATCGTAACCACCCAATCATAATATGGAACTACTCTATCCTGGAATCTCTACAGAAAGACAAACAGTTTCAGTTTCATGTTGTTTAACACTGCACTCAGCAATATTCCAGCCATAAGACTGCGGTCTGTAAATAATCATGTCTGGACCAGACAATCCAGTGATTGACATGAACATCGATCCAGGCAATTGGGATCGATGACATGCATCAACCAAGTCAGCGAGCCTGACCACCTGATCACGTTAGTCGCCTCTTACGACAAGCATAGTCGCCTTTCACAGCAAGCATGGGTTGCTGAAGACCTATTCTACCCCGGATCTTCACGGGTCAGAAAGACAAACATGGGAGGCTGTGGACCTTCTCTGTCCTGGAATCTCCACAGGGGTTGGCAACCGTGTATAGGGAAGTGTGGACCCTACCTGAGAGTGTGAGTTGGGAAAAGTCCTTCTCCATGTACGTGGCTGGCGCGTTGAAGTACTCGGTGAAGTCAGCAGTGGTGGGGGGCGGGGAGTCCAGAGTGAAACTGTAGGAACTGTAGGGGCTGTAGGGGCTGGGCAGACAGGTAGAGTCCGGGCTCAGGGACGAGGCAGGGGTGCCCAGGTCTGTGTACCTGCAATACAAAAGTCGGGAATACAGTGATGGGAGTTTTAGGTTGCTTTGTCATCATTCAAGTCATATCCAGTCCATGTATCATGATGTATCTGGCCTACAAAAGTGTATACCTGTACTCATCAAAGGCCAGACTATCTGTCATGGGTGTTGAGATTCCAGAATCATCCCCGAAGGATGAGGTGGGAGGTGAGCCTTGAGACGGGGCCGAGCTGTAGGACTCACTCCGAGCTCGACTGCTCACTCCACACTCTTCCTCCTTGGCAGGAGACAGCTTGATACGCTCCGGCATGGCTGCGATGATCTGGTTGGCGAGGGTTACCATTTGGTTCTTGCCTTCATGATCCCCACCTGGAACAATTTGGTACAGAATTTGTATAACGCCACACTCAGCAATACTCCAGGTATATGTATTTGTGTGTTTTTAGCCAGAAGTTTTTACATTTGGAAACAAAGGCTTTAGCCTATACTCAACAACACCTACAAATATGAAAACAAATGATGTTTATCTTCTAATTATCACATCTCAAACTAGTTCAGCTAATACTGAGTGAGTTTAACACTGCTTTGACAGCATTTCAGTCATATCACAGCGTGTCAGCTTGATGTGGGAGGGAGCCCCAGGTGACAAAGGTCATAGATGTTGACCACGTCGGTGAAACCCAGGAGCATTGTTAAGGTGCTGACAAACCCAGAAACATAATAGGGCAAACCGGGATTCAAACCCACAACAGAGTTAAGCTTAAACAATACAGTCTTCCTTTAATGCGTAACATTTTTAGATTCAAAAGCAACTCATTAAAGCATGGTGTTTATGTGTGTGTTATGGTGTCTAACCTTCACCAGATGCTACAGCAGCGGCGGCGGCAGCAGCAGCAGCAGCAACAGCTGCCTTGTGTTCCGCCTCCTCGTCAGATGAGATCTTTTCTACATCAATGAAAGGGCTGTCACTCCGCACCGATGATACCTCATCTACAGAGGTACGGAGCTTGCATTATAGACATTACTCCTACAGACACTCAACACTGATTACACGACTAAAGAGCAGATCAAATTGCAAATTCAAACATGGCAAATGAAACATTCATCCACAAGAAATGTTAAGAATCAATGAGGTTGGTTGGTTGGTTTGTTGTTTAACGCTGCACTCAGCAATATTCCAGCGTTATGACGAGAGTCTGTAAATAATCGAGTCTGGACCAGACAATCCAGTGATTGACAACATGAGGAATCAATGAAGGACATGCAGAGAAACAGGCTGATGGGTCTCTTCCATGTACAACATGTTTCATCAGCTCTTGCTGAAATAATAGTAGATATATTTATACTATAACCATGACATGTATCATTGAAAATCACCAATACAAACTTCCAAGACCTTTTTGAGGCCTTGTTTAAGGTATTGTTGAAATGACACACAAATTCGATCATTATCAAGCTTTTAAATCCTGTTACCTCCATAAGATCCGGGTTAGAAATGGTCTTCAGCAACCAATGTTTGTGGACAGAAGCGACCGACAGAATCAGACTTGCTGACTTGGTTGATGCACGTCCTCATATCCCAACTGCATTGATTGAAGTTCATTATGTCAATCACTGGTGTGTCTGGTCCAATGATTACTTACAGACCACCGCCATATGGCTGGTATATTGCTGAGTGAGGCATTAAACAACAAACAGAAAAACAAAAACTGGCAAAATCATGATCCCTGGTTAATTTTCAAGCTGATCAATATCTGCAACATTGCAACACTGTCATACTCCTATTCAACTGACCTGTGTCCATCTGCATGAGGAGACCATCCGTCTCCTTCCCAGACTCCGTCGCTATGGTGTTGAGCAAAGACTCGGTCTGCATGAGAATATCTGGCGATGCCAGATCACGTTGAGCAACTGGTAGCAAGGCAGAGTCCGTCACTGCACTGATTGGATGATCACCAACCAATGACAGGTGTGGCTCAGAATTGGCCTCCCGAATTGGCTTCTGAAAAGCGTCATGTTGGGGCGAGGTCTGGTCGTTTGTTGCCCCACTCGGCAATATATCCACCGAATAGCGTTTGCTAAGTTGGCGATGACAGGTGCCAATGACTTGTTCACTGAGTCGCCGGACGAGCTTGGAATCCCCTGGGTAGGGAGGGGGAGGAGGTATGTCGATGTGAAGGTTTTCCTGCTTCTCATCACAAATGTTTTTGTGAGAACTGGGGAATATATGGCAAGGAGTTGGTGACAGGTCACACGCAGTGATAGAGTCCGAGGTTGTGAAAGAAGAAGTTGCGCCAGCAAATGATGCTGTGGATGTGCATGGGGGGAAAGGGGGCGGGGCTTGCAGACGAGCTTGCTCCAACTGCTCGATTTGATTGGCAAGGTTGTGATGTCCCTTGCTTCGGGCAACGGTGAGCGGGAGACGTCCATCCTTGTTACAGATGCTGAGTGGCCCCGTGTTGATATGATACAGCGTCAGTGAAGCATCAATATTTCCTCTTGCACATGCCCACATCTGAAACAGACCAGTGTGAAGGTAAGCAAGAAATTAAAGTGGTTTAGGTCCCGTTCCACAAAGCGATCTTAGCACTCAGGTGATCGTACCTCCCATACAGGCTTACGACAGTTGCAGAGCTAAGATTGTTGGTGGCAAAGCCATCATCTTAAAGTTTAAAGACTGTAGGATTCCTACACTGATTACAGAAGACAACTGAAACATTCCACCCTCCCGTCATTCATTTCAACAAACTACCAGTGAGTACATCTATATGGTCAGCCATGTATCAATACCCTGATTACAACTTGCAAAGTACCATCAAACTTTAGCAGACAAGCTGAGGCCCAAAGCATTCAACACTGACATCAGGAACAAACTAAGCTATGTGAGATTGCCTTGCCAAACAACTCCCACATCTGGTAGCCTTTCACAATCGTAAGTAATCGTAGGTACACTTGTATCTTTAGAACTGTGAGTGAGTATGGTTTTATGCCGCTTTTAGCAATATTTCAGCAATATCACGGCGGGGGACACCAGAAATGGGCTTCTAACATTGTACCCATGTGAGGAATGGAATCAGGGCCTTCGGGTTGACGAGCGAACACTCTAACCACGACCTATAACTAAATCAACATGAACTGGGAAAGTTTGTATTCTCATTCGGGAATGTTTACAGTTGCCGCCAACTTGGTGCCAGATATCGACCTGTGAGCAGGTCTAGATCAATGATCAAGATAATGCTGCAGTAATCAGTTTCTTTGTTCATTGTGAGCAGGTCTAGATCAATTCCTGCCTATGATCAAGATAATGCTGCAGTAATTAGCTTCTCACCAATGGTGTACAGGCATGGTTGTCCACACTGTGAGCATCAACTTCATATTCTAAAACTAAATTAGAGATGTCAGATCTGTCAAAGAAAGAGAAAACAGTATTATCACTCTTCAATCTATCAATCAATCAATCAATCAATCAATCAACCCTTGTGGGGCCCTGGGTAAGAATAGGTCCCCAGCACATCATCATCATCAGCGGCAGCAGCAGCAGCAGCAGCAACAGCAGCAGAGGCTCCTAAGAGGCTCCCCAACTTTCTTTGGGTGTTCAGGCTCAGTGACCTGGTTGATTGCATGTCGTTGTTCACCAAAGACATGGGTGTTGCTCATAATATCAACCACCAGTTTGTCTGGCCCAGACTTAATCAGTCGCAGGCAACAACGACATAGCTGGACATTGTTCACAGCAGCATCAAACATCACAGAACCAAGGACACATAAAACAGCAATGTTCTCACTATATCATGGCAGTCTGAGAATATTCGTGTATTGGCCCAGCTTACCAGAGGCCAGTAGCACAACCAACAACCCACAGCATCGGGTTATGATAGAACACAATCAGTCAGCTCACACGCTGTAACTACCAGACCCTCATTTAAGTCGTCTCTTACAACAAGGAAGGGTACGAGGCACCCATTATTTTTCGGAATTATGTTCTGGGGACTTTCAAAGAACCAATTCTAAATACATGTTTGTTATTTTCATTCAACTATTCAATCTCCCTGTTGGAAATTAAGCATGGAAGAAAAGGGGTCCCAGTCATAACTACTGCCAAGTTAAAGCTTTAAGGAGAAGAGCCAGGATTCAAACACTATGGAAGCAAACCTCAAGGAAACCAGGGCTCCCATTAATTTCCAACCCTGATTCCTGTACTGGTGCTACCCACCTCCACCTAACAAGTGAGCTGATGAGTTTGGCGTAGCCAAGGGCCGCCGCAAGATGAAGTAAAGTCAGTCCACCATGGCCAGCCTTGGGGTAAGTCTCCAGTTTCTGCCAGGGTCGACCAGCCAGGTGCTCCACATACTGCACAAGACGACACTCGGTGTTCTCATGGTCAACATTCAGGGCATGCTGGAATAGTGCACAACAAACAAAGTCACAACACTCGTCTCACTCCGGGACAGATTCTCGTTTCAAACTTGTATCTACATTTATTCTGATACTGTTAAATAGCTGTGTGAAGAAAGGATTGAACTTGTTCCCATCTTAAAGGGAGCCAAGGCTCGAGACAATGGTCAGTCCCAGCAAACTCAATTAAGTTCAGGATAAACTGTTGTAGGGCTGGGATGATACACAACTGTGTGATCAAATACATACCACGATACTTTGCTCAGGATCCGATATATACCATGATACTTTGCTCACGATTCGATATATACCACAATACCTTGCTCACGATCCGATACATACCACAATACCTTGCTCACAATCTGATACATACTACGATACTTTGCTCTCGATCCGATACATACCACGATACTTTGCTCTCGATCCGATACATACCACGATACTTTGCTCACGATCCGATATATACCACAATACCTTGCTCACGATTCGATACATACAACGATACTTTGCTCACGATCCGATATATACCACAATACCTTGCTCACGATCCGATACATACCACGATACTTTGCTCTCAATCCGATACATACCACGATACTTTGCTCACGATCCGATATATACCACAATACCTTGCTCACAATCCGATACATACCACGATGCTTTGCTCACGATCCGATATATACCACAATACCTCGCTCACGATCCAATACATACCACGATACTTTGCTCACGATCCAATACATACCACGATACTTTGCTCACGATCCAATACATACCATGATACTTTGCTCTCGATCCGATACATACCATGATACTTTGCTCACGATCCGATACATACCACGATACTTTGTTCACGATCCGATACATACCACGATACTTTGCTCACGATCCAATACATACCATGATACTTTGCTCACGATCCGATACATACAACAATACTTTGCTCACGATCCAATACATACCATGATACTTTGCTCACGATCTGATACATACCACGATACTTTGCTCACGATCCGATACATACCATGATACTTTGCTCACGATCTGATACATACCATGATACTTTGCTCTCGATCCCATACATACCATGATACTTTGCTCACGATCTGATACATACCATGATACTTTGCTCACGATCCGATACATACCATGATACTTTGCTCACGATCCGATACATACCACGATACTTGCATGCACTCTCATCTATCATGCTTAAGCCATCTCTTTCAAAGAGTGGAAGGCCAAATACCTGGCACACTGATGATTTACAGTTGGCAGTGTCATAGACAGGGTTTGTCAGGGAAAGCTCACCTGCTTGTCAAGGAAAGCTCACCTGCTTGTCAAGAAAAGCTCACCTGTTTCTCAAGGAAAGCTCACCTGCTTGTCAAGAAAAGCTCACCTGTTTGTCAAGGAAAGCTCACCTGTTTGTCAAGGAAAGCTCAACTGCTTGTCAAGAAAAGCTCACCTGTTTCTCAAGGAAAGCTCACCTGTTTCTCAAGGAAAGCTCACCTGTTTGTCAAGGAAAGCTCACCTGCTTGTCAAGAAAAGCTCACCTGTTTCTCAAGAAAAGCTCACCTGTTTCTCAAGGAAAGCTCACCTGGTTGTCAAGGAAAGCTCACCTGTTTCTCAAGGAAAGCTCACCTGTTTCTCAAGAAAAGCTCAACTGCTTGTCAAGGAAAGCTCACCTGTTTCTCAAGGAAAGCTCACCTGCTTGTCAAGGAAAGCTCACCCGTTTGTCAAGGAAAGCTCACCTGCTTGTCAAGGAAAGTTGTGTTCTTGTCAGCTGGCATGAGCCTCTTCTCCAGTTGTTCCAACCTCTCCACCAGCAGCAGTTTCATCTCCGTCGCTGAAACAAAAACATAGCAAACATTTACACACTTCTACACATGTACCGAGATTGTGAGGCAATACGCGATGTTGCAGCAGTATCATAATGGCACACAAACAGCGAGTGGGTTGGGTTTAATGCCACTTTCTAGTTACTGGTATTCAGTTTCTTCAAAGATGCCAGGGGGCGCTGGGGTAGCCTAGTGGTTAAAGTGTTGCTCGTCACACTAAGACCCAGGTTTGATTCCCCACATGAAGCCCATTTCTGGTGTCCCCCGATGGAATATTGCTGGAAGCGGTGTCAAACCCAACTCACTCACTCACTCAAAGGCCAAAGTGAGGCAGGTCACAGACACAAGGCATTAGTGGAACACCGTGAGCACAGGCAGAATAATTTGGCTGAATCTAGGACTGGAACCTTGAATCAGCTGAGGGGACACAACTCTGCAAACTGAGTGAGTTAGTTGGAGTTTACACCACAACTGGCACTATTCCAGCAATATAAGGGCGATATCAGCAATGGGTTGGACACATTGTACCAAGCTGGGGAACAGACCTTGGGCTTCTGATTACTGAGCAAACGCTTTAAAGCAGCCCTTTATTGCCACATTGCAAACTGAACTGTGACACCTTCGACAAATGAACCACCCATGTTCCAAAATCAGTGTTCAAAACAAAAGGGGGGCCTCTGGTACTTGAATCTTTTGACTTCTAATATGAGGAAAATCAAAAGTCCCCTTGACTGTCAAGCTTAATTTCCAACACTGCAAAATATACCGAGGTACAACTACTCACAATCCATTGAGAACCATTCGTTGTGAGCTGACTGCGTGCTGTGCTTCTCCCGAGCCTTGTACTCGAACACCTCACTGTTGGAGATGACAAACCCATCATTGGCCACCTGCAGCGTTACCAGGCCGGCGTCATGTGCTGCAAGACATCAGCATCATATGACATCAACGTTCCATGCAATTAGGGTATATTAACACGCAAACAACCAATTCACTGAGTCTGTCCACCTGCAGCGTCACCAGGCCGGCGTCATGTGCTGCAAGACATCAGTATCATATGACATCAACGTTCCACGCAATCAGGGTATATTAACATTCAATCAACCAATTCACTGAGTCTGTCCACCTGCAGTGTCACCAGGCCGGCGTCATGTGCTGCAAGACATCAGCATCATATGACATCAACGTTCCATGCAATTAGGGTATATTAACACGCAAACAACCAATTCACTGAGTCTGTCCACCTGCAGCGTCACCAGGCCGGCGTCATGTGCTGCAAGACATCAGCATCATATGACATCAACGTTCCATGCAATTAGGGTATATTAACACGTAAACAACCAATTCACTGAGTCTGGCCACCTTTGATCCAAGATGCCTCTTACGACCAGCATAACAATCAAGTCTGGGCCCACAATCCACTGATTGATATCATCATCAACAATCCATGCCATTGTGGTACGATGACATGCATCTACCAAGTCAACAAGTCTGACCATCCAAGTCACCTCTGGCAACCAGCATAGGTTGCTGGAGACCCATCCTAACCCGGAAGTGTGAGATACTGACCTGGAGTGAAGCACCGGAGAACCCCTGCCTGTACAAGTGTAGCAGGCACCGTCTTACTGTTGAACACAACAGAGTAGGACGTGGACGTGGAGAACCATGGGCCTGTCACCAGGATCTTTGTGCCACCCTTCCAACATACAACAACACTCAATAACATCTCATCAGTCACTGCCAACACTATCACAGGCATGTCAACCCTAATCATGCTGATTATTGATGATAAATAATTTAACAACATTTTGGAGGTACAGTAAAATATGTTTATAACGAACACGGTTATAATCAACTAAAATCAGTGGCCCCTTTGAGTTTGTTATAACCGTCGTTTACTGTACACCTCACAGCTACCTCAATGTACTTGCTCTCAAATCATAAACTAGAACACATCCCGATAAGATTACTCAGAAGTGGATTTATCATATCTGTCAGCGAGTGAGTTTGGTTTTTACACCGCTTGGAACAGTATTTCAATATTATCACAGAGAGTCAGCTTGGTTTGGGTGGAAATGTGAAACTCTATGCCCCTCACATCTGTGTAGCACCAGTCAGGGGAGAAGTCTGTGATGACGCCCTGAGAGAAGCTGCTGTCTGTGTCAGTCTGTGAGTGAGTGTTGTCTGCTGTCTGCGTGTCTGACGTAGCAGACGTCGATGTTGAAGATTGATGCGACTCTGCCCGTTGCTGCTGTGATTGTTGAGCTTGTTGGTTGCTGAGGCAGTTAGCACAATTGATGAGCGGGACAGAAGTCGGCATTCCGCCACTTGACGTCCCGAGACTTGCATTTGTGTCGGGCAAATCAGGACAGTCATAAAGTTCGGGCAAGTCGAGAAGATAATCAAGATTGAGATCAGTACTGGGAAATGAGGAAAAGCTGCCATCAAGAGTATCACAATTATCAGTCCCCGAATTATCTTTCACTAGTGTTCCCACAGTGTGCGAGCAGTCCCCGCGAATGAGCGAGTCTAATGTATTGTGGAGATTTCGCTGAGTATCTGAGATTGTAGCTGACATTTGATCGAGAAAAAGATCCTTCGAATCCTGCTGGGTGCCTGCCAGCTCCAACAGAGCATCACTTGCAATATTCATCGGAACGGGAGACTTTCTGTTCGAGTCATGCGCATGGAGATTGTGAATATGTTGTGACAATTTATCATCCTGCTTGACACCAGCAAGCACTTGGGGAATGGTTTGGAGTATCTGAGGCTGAGGGAAACGGCCCTGCGTGTCCAGGGTTGCCGCGGTGATGGTGTGAATGGGCGTGGTGAGAGAGTTGTTGATGATGGAGATGGGTGATGTGTTATGTCCGCTGACAAAGATCAGACCATTACTGCCGTGGAGACTTGCTAGGTTTAGAATGAGAGGAGCAGGAGCTGCAGCTGTGTGGTTCAAGTCTTGAGTGGAGTTGGACGAGGGGGCCGTAGTGGGCGTGATCACCACCTGGCTGGTGTGAAGCTCGGGAGTGGGTGGGGCTACCGACTGGGTGGCGCTGCGTTGGGTGTGGCGCTGCAACATGGACACTAGGCGATTGTGTGCCAGGCTGGCTGTGTTAGGAGGTGATGAGTCCTTGGTGCATTTGGAATGAGGAAAGTTTTTGTCACAGGAAGGAGTGCATTTGTGGGGTTTGGCTTTGCCTGATTTGTCCTGCCGAAGGTTAATCAACTGTTGAACAAAGTCTTCAATTGTTTCTTCAACCTGCAAGAAAAGGAACAATATTGTAACCGTGCAACAAAACCTTTTCTAGGAATATCAACCCTTAGTGATACCCCGAGTCAGTTAACACAACGTCAACACAACAATAGTGATTAGACGTCAGTTTGTTACTGGCAAACTGAATATCTGACTAGTTCTTGTTTCATCCCCTTAATGCCGACTGCCAGGCAGGGTAACAACAAGTACCATCTCAAGTACACTCAGATACAGCATACTGACTCTAAGCCCACCAGTCCTTGTTTCATTTCTGTAATACCGAGTGCTAGGCAAGGAAACAACAAGTACCATCTCAAGTACACTCAGATACAGCATACTGACTCTGAGCCCACCAGTCCTTGTTTCATTTCTGTAATACCGAGTGCTAGGCAAGGAAACAACAAGTACCATCTCAAGTACACTCAGATACAGCATACTGACTCTAAGCCCACCAGTCCTTGTTTCATTTCTGTAATACCGAGTGCTAGGCAAGGAAACAACAAGTACCATCTCAAGTACACTCAGATACAGCATACTGACTCTGAGCCCACCAGTTCTTGTTTCATTTCTTTGATGCCGAGTGCCAGGCAGGGTAACAACAAGTACCATCTCAAGTACACTCAGATACAGCATACTGACTCTGAGCCCACCAGTCCTTGTTTCATTCCTTTGATACCGAGTGCCAGGCAGGGTAACACTCTGGTAACACTCTGGTAACACTTTTGGTAAAACGTGGCCAGAACCTTCTCCTCTCTTTGCAGGTGCTCCATCCACTACACCACAGAGGAAGTGCACAGTGAGTGGTAAAGTCGTAGACTGGAGCTTAGGGAGAATCACTCAGTTGGGTTCAACATCTCGTTCAACTGTATTTCAGTTATATTACGGCTTGTCACCTTAATGTGGGAGGAAAACCCAAAGTGATGCAGGTCTTAGTGAATATGGTATTACGCCGCGTTTAGCAATATTCCAGCACTATCACGACGATGGGCTTCACACATTGTACACATGTCGGGAATCGAACCTGGGTCTTCGGTGTGACGAGCGAATGCTTTAACCACTAGACTCCCCGGCCGCCCCGATGCAGCTCTTAGATGTTCACCACTTTAGTGAAAGCTATAAACGTGTGGACAAACCTAGAAACATAATCAGAGTGAATCCAGGATTCAAACCAACGATCATAGGTTCCTGGCAACCCTAAGGGACGCAACTCTGCATGGTATATTTAGTGCCTTGGACTACTGGACCACCCATGCCTGTGATGTTAATCAGTATTTCTGGGAATCAGTCAAGTCCTGACAGTAATTACTCTCGTCATCAAGATGAATGATCTCACCATGTGTTCTTGCTCAGGACCAAGATCCACTCTCCTGCCACACGCCACTACAAGAGACACAGTTACAGCTTCATTTCAAGGAGTATGACTGTTGTTACTACAATATCAACATCTATACAAGGAATACAACAATGTCTTAAGCTTTTAATTCTTTCTGTCAGTTTCTGACATCAACAATTGAACTCATGTAAGCTTTCAACATCAGACAATGTCTGACATTGTGTCACCAGTGGGTTGCATATTAACTGCCCAAATTATCTCCCTTAGTATCTCCCAGTTTCACAAAGATTGGAATGGTTCCTGGGATACAGGTATTTTGTCTTCTAATTCTTTTAGTATTATGACGTAGCATTCATAGAATATGTAACAGAATTTGTAACTATGTTTATTGGCATATACGCTAGGCGTCGTGCCTCAGTTTGGATCTTACCCTATATAAAACAAGTTGTTTTTCAGTGTCTTGCAATGAACACACAAATAAACAATACACTCTTTCACTGCTTCAAAACATAGTCCAGGGTAATTAACTAATCTTTGTTTCTACTAGTCTGTACAAATGATCTGCTTTACAATTGCCATAGTGAGTGAGTGAGTGAGTTTGGTTTTACGCCGCTTTTAGCAATATTCCAGCAATATCACGGCGGGGGACACCACAAATTGGCTTCACACATTGTACCCATGTCAGGATTCGAACCCGGGTCTTCGGTGTGACGAGAGAACGCTTTAAACAATAGGCTACCCGACCGCCCCACAATTGCCATGGTAACCACGGCAGTCAACGATAGGAAATGAGTCCTTCCTGAAGTTTATCAGTCTTGGACTAAGAGATAACATTTCAATTAGAATTGCTCTTCAGCAACCCAGATTAACAGGTGCTCCGACTCGCTGACTTGCTTGATTCATGTCACCATATCCCAAATGCTTAGATTGATGCTCATGATGTCAAACACTGGATTGTCTGGTCCAGATTCGATTATTTTCAGTTTGAAATCATACAGCTGGAACATTGATGAGTGTGGCGTTAAACAAGAAAGCTAATTCCGAAGCCCTCTGTCAACTCACACATCGGCCTGAGCTGATCAACAAGTTCCTCCTTGGTCCATTCTTTCTTCTCCATGTCGTAAGATAAAACAGGAATGCTCAGTTTGGTGTTGTCAGGGTAGGGGACATTCAGGTAGTGGACAAGAACGATGTCAGGATTCTGAAACAGGTCAGGCCATACAGGTACACAGGTACAATATATCGCAAATTTTCCATTTCAATATTATTTAAACTAATACAGGTGTGTGGGTTGCGAAACATAATGTAATGTAAGTGTCTTTCCAATAGTCAACTTTCCCTTATGTCTTTGAGCTACAATCGAGCAGCCCCTTTCTTCCAAGATTTCAAAGAGCGTCATACGACTCTTGGTCAGAAGTTGTTTGATCAAGGTTACAACATTCAAGGCCTCCGTAAAGCTTTCAAAATGTTTTAAAAATGTGACACATCAGTGACAAAAATGGTGTATGATGCAATTACCTAATTTGACTTACACCATATCTTCCTGTGTTTTTTCAGGTTAACACTTGACTTGTCTTTGCATGTATTGGTGACGGGTGCCACCTGTGAAACAAAATACACTCACCTTTTTGCGAAACATGGTATCATCACTATTGATAGTGATTCATATACACATGCTCGTGACATTGTCGGAATCGTACAATCGACTCTGCTTTTGGTGAATTTCAGGTGAACATGGAAAGGGACCTGTCACTATTATTTACTGAACAGTAAGAAACTACACATTACACCCACCTGGAGCAACCAATAACAGCGTCTATGGAAAGTAGGGAGGATTGCCGAGTGCACGTATGAGCCATAGATACACTGAAAACAAACACAATCAGGACTCAATCAATTGAATATCAACAAATTATTCAGGTGTCCACCAACATTTAATTGTTCGCTTGTTGATTAATGCATGACGGCAGTCTGTAAATAATCGAGTCTGGACCAGATAATCCAGTGATTGACATCATGAGCATCGATCTACGCAATGGAAATACAAAGACATGCATCAACCAAGCCAGCGAACCTGACCACCTGTTGCCGTTAGTTGCCTCTTCAGACAAGCATAGTTGCCTGTTATGACAAGCATGGGTTGCTGAAGACCTATTCTACCCCAGATCTTCATGGGTCCCAATTACCTGTCAAAAGGGTTGGTGGGTATCAGATACATAGGGTCAGGAACCCATATTGTTCATGAACGGGAGGTCACATGTTTTTTAGAGGGGAGATCAATGGCCAAATGATCCTGTCTGGGTCAGACAATCCGGTGATGATGTTGCGAGTACCGAACCATGCCAGCTGGGCACAATGACACGTCTGAGCCTGACCCCCTGATCAATTCTGGTCAACGCTTACAACCAGCAGAGTGGTGGGATCAATTCAATCCTGGCATCCCAGTAATGTTAAAACAATGGGGAAATTAGGAAATTTGTACAAGCACACAGGAATTTGTACTAGCCCAGAGGCATTTGTAGTAGCCCCGGGTTAGTGGGAAAGTGGGCTAGTATTATTTCCAACCCTGATGTATCGGACACCTACAGATAGACTATTGCAGAGTGGGGCGTGAAGCCAGAGTGACAGCACAACGCCCCCGTAGTTCCCCTCACCTCCACCCCCTGCACTTTGAGCTTCATGTGATCCTCCCTGATGGTCTTGCCATCGCGCCGCTTCTTCCAGCAGTAGCCGTCCTTGCGGTACCTCACCTTGTTCCGACTGTACAGCAGCATGGAGCCACTCGGAGGCCTGAAACCATGAACCAATGCTGAACAACCATCCACGTTCCATTTGCCCTTCCCACACTTCACTTGACTCATGCTAGCAGTCCAGCTTTAGTGTAACACTAATCAAAATTGGCCCTTCTAATGCTAATCAATAGCCCTTCCAAAATTTCACCTGTCTCAAGTTGGCATACCATTTTTAACACTAATACCTGGCTCTTCAAACATTTAACGTGTCTGAAGTTGGCACACAATCTCTAACACTAATCACTGGGCCTTCTAAATTTCACTAATCTAAAGTTGCCACACCATTTCTAACACTAATTATTGCCAGGCCCTTCCAAAATTTCACTGTTTCAACCTAGCATGCCAGTGTTGATTTTCTAATGACTGGCCCATCCAAACTTCTTTTTGGCTCAGGCTAGCAGAGCAGTGTAATTTCTAATGCCCTTCCAAAAAATGTTAATTTGCATCAGATTTGCAAACCAGTGTTAATTTCTAATGCTAATGACTCAAACCCTGGAAAGCATTTTAGCATTTAGTTCAAACCCAGCTAGCTGTAACAAACTTCATATACTTTCGACAAGACGATGAGGGTTAATGTCCAACATTATTTACTTGCCCTTTTAATTTGAACTTGCCTCAGACTAGCAGACTAGTGTCAACTTGTAACATTAATCATGTTAATCACTGGCCTCAGGTTAATGGTCAGTTTACTGGAATGCTGGAAAGTTGGAACAATATGAATTGGAATCCTTTCATCAATTCCATTAAATAAATGAATATTGAAAATATATAATGTCTATGTTTTAGTATCAAGGGACATGTCAATTCCAACCACAAACTCTCTACTTTCCATTCATACTGAAATTCCATCTCTTCACCGTGACATTTAATACGACATCAAATAAACATGAGCCTCTGGCAAGCCATATTGCATGCAGATTATACACTGTTATGAGGAAATCACATATAGACAATTATTATTAACATTTTTTCTAATAAATTGTGCATCATAGATAGCACACATTGAAAATACCTGATTTTGAGTTCTCTGATCTGCCATTCTTTGTGACGATCGAATGCTATCAGCACAGATGCTATCTCCTGAAAACAAATTGTCATTGTTAAAGTCCCAAAGTCCTCCCTTGATTATTATTTAGTGCCAAGTTAAGGGAGGTGGATGGTCCTCTCAATCTCCAACATTAAACAGAATTATCCTGATCAGGGTTAAGACAAGAACCACTAAGGTCTTGACATCAATGCTGAGTTTTGAACACTGATTCAGCTCAAAGAAACTTATTTCCATATGGACACAGTATGTATTGTACATTTTTGTGTTCCATCATGTCTATTCTTGACAATATCATAACACTGTTGATTCCAATAAAATAGAATGAATTTTCAGAGAAACTTTATTTCCATATGACACATGTATTGTAAATTATGATCCATATTGGAATTTTATTCTTGACAATATCATAACACTGTCCATTCCAATTAGAATCTTTTCTCGTAGAAAAACTATAATGCCTCCATTAGATTTAAAAAGCTGCTACAAACACATCAGATCAGATCCAGTGACTGATATTAATAATGACCCATGCCATCATTGTTTGTTGTTTAATGCCGCACTCAGCAGTATTCCACTGTATGACAGCATCCTTTGAAACAGTCGCATCTGGTCCAGACAATCCAGTGACTGATATGAATAATGACCCATGCCTTTGAAACAGTCGCATCTGGACCGGACAATCCTGTGACTGATATGAATAATCGATCTATGCAACTGGGATACAATGACCTGCATCCCCCAAGTCAGTGAGCCTGACCACCCAATCCATGCTTGGGTAATCGGGTCGAACCAGGATTCAAACCCATGAACAAACCCATGTTATAGTACTAGGCCAGTACTTGGTTTTGCTCCTCAATGCCCAGCGCCAGACAGGGTAACAACAAGCACCATCCTTTATTGTCCCACCCGGGGATCGAACCACCGACCTTCTACTCTCCCAGTCTTATAAGCATGTGAGTGAGTGAGTGAGTGAGTGAGTGAGTGAGTGAGTGAGTGAGTGAGTGAAAGTTGAACACTGAAGTCAGCAATATTCCAGCATTACCACGGCAGTACATAAACGAGTCTGGGACATGGTACATGGGCATGGTATATGGGCATGGTATATGGACATGGTATATGGACAGGTATATGGACATGGTATATGGACATGTAGTGATGAAACACTTCAGATGTTGCTGTCATACTTTGTCTGGCACAACAGCACTTGTCCCTCTGACAGACATTGACTGAAATATCAGAAAGCTCCCAAGCAAGTGTACAAAACTATGGCAAATCTAGATTTCTCCTGAAAAAGAAGAGATTTTCTGGAATCCTTTGTCTCATATGTTGCCATGGTTGCAAGACAATTGAAAAAACAAAAAACATCAATATAGACCTAAATGTCAGCGGTAGTAAGCACCCTGGGAGATTGGCAAATTGACAAAGATAGGGGGCGCTTATTGAAACCACAAGTTACATTTGTTGTCAGAGACATCGAGACAACCGAAACTTTAAAGAAATGGTATGGATTTTAGATAAATGACTTTGGATAAAAAAAAGAGATAGCTAACCCATGCCCTACCACATACCTAACCCTAAGGATCGTATAGGGGTGCTTGATCAGAAAGAGGTACCTAACCCTAAGGATCGTATAGGGGTGCTTGATCGTAAAGGGGTACCTAACCCTAATGATCGTAAAGGGGTGCTTAATCGGAAAGGGGCACCTAGCCCTAATGATTGTAAATGAGTGCTTGATCGGAAAGGGGCACCTAGCCCTAATGATTGTAAATGAGTGCTTGATCGTAAAGGGGCACCTAACCCTAATGATTGTAAAGGGGTGCTTGATCGGAAAGGGGCACCTAACCCTAATGATTGTAAAGGGGTACTTGATCGGAAAGGGGCACCTAACCCTAATGATTGTAAAGGGGTACTTGATCGTAAAGGGGCACCTAGCCCTAATGATTGTAAAGGGGTGCTTGATCGGAAAGGGGCACCTAACCCTAATGATTGTAAAGGGGTGCTTGATCGTAAAGGGGTACCTAACCCTAATGATCGTAAAGGGGTACTTGATCGTAAAGGGGTACCTAACCCTAATGATCGTAAAGGGGTGCTTAATCGGAAAGGGGTACCTAACCCTAATGATTGTAAAGGGGTACTTGATCGGAAAGAGGCACCTAGCCCTTATGATTGTAAAGGGGTGCTTGGTCGGAAAGGGGCACCTAGCCCTAATGATTGTAAAGGGGTACTTGATCGGAAAGAGGCACCTAGCCCTACAGATCATAAAGGGGTGCTTGATCGTAAAGGGGTGCCTAACCCAAATGATTGTAAAGGGGTGCTTGATCGTAAAGGGGTACCTAACCCTAATGATTGTAAAGGGATACAAGATCGTAAAGGGGTGCCTAACCAATGATCGTAAAGGGGTGCTTGATCGGAAAGGGTTGTAGGTAACCTAACCTAACCTACCCAAAACCTGTGAACTGAGTGCCACAATCAACAGCCTGAGCCAATAAGTGCTAATTAAGCTGGGCCCAGTAAACTGCATTGTTGACAATAACAGTTACTCCTTCACCATTGCTGTAATATACACAAACAAAAAAGGACCTGTCATGTAAATCTATTTCGGGATTATCTATATTCGACCCCAAGTCCGCAGCAAAAGACAGTACAAATTCCCAAATTGGAACAATCTTACAATTTCTTTCCCAATTGGATTGCCAAGGGAACAAACAGAACCTTGTTTGGAATTCCAGATAAATCCTTGCTTTTATTAGAGCAGGGTGCTTAATACCACAAATACAGTATACCTCATGAAAAATACTACTGAGTACAAGGAGACCAAAGTATAAAATTGCCTACCTTTCACAATCTTCCATAAAGAAGAAAATATCAGGGCTGTGGTAAGTTGTGTCAGGAGATTGTGTCGGCGCCGCACAGCCATCTTGGGTCTGCAACAATGTCCAACACAATGAGCACAAGTGATTCACGGCCAAAACAAGTTGAAACATAATTACTCCACCACTCTTCATGCTCTGATACCTTGGTAACCAACCAAAACATCAATTTCTTGGAAATTTAGATATAAAGGTCTTAATAAAGACGTCACTTTTCCTGGTTCATGAAACTGGAATAATTACAGAACTGTTACCATGGTTACAATCAAGTGGTAACACAAAGAGACTAATGTCAACAATATTATTGACTTTTACATAAGGTTTTTAGAAAAAAACAGATGTTAAAGTAATAATCCATGATACAACAAACAGGACAGGATTGGGAGAGGGAGGGCGGGAGGGGAACCAGGGGGGAGAGGGACGAGGTTGTGTGACGTCGGTTCGGCAGGCCTGTACAGCAGCAATGGAATAAAGACAAAGAACTTGATCAATGAATGGAGCATAATGGTTTGGTTTGGTTTGGTTTGGTTTGGTTTGTTGTTTAACGCTGCTCTCAGCAATAATCCAGCTATATGACGGCGGTCTGTAAATAATCGAGTCCCAGACAATCCAGTGATTGGTATCATGAATGGAGCATAATGAATGCATATGTTACCCAGTTCACAATTGCTCACACTGACTGAAAACAATGAAGGAATCTGGGTCAGTATCTTTGTATTCGTAAGAACATGGCTGACAAAACTTGTATTGTCATCAAGTTTACAACTTGGCATGGTGCAACGATATAGCATACAACTCATCGACTATTAAAGGAATAGTTTCAGTAAAGTGTCTATGTACCTACTTAGTTCTCTCTGTTATGTATAGCAACACTGGTCTAGATGACATGAGCCCCTTTTACAATAGTTATTAATCAACAGAATGGTGAACAGGATCAAAATTAACTTTTAATAAACATCAGAACCATAAATCCTATCATTATTATATATTATCCATTATTTACAGTACAAGAAAAGTAGCTATACTTCAAGCAGCATGCACTTGGAAATGAGTTTGACAGAAACTCTTCTTTAAATATCAAGTGTTTTACATGGAAATATACTACAGAATAATACCCCAAAATGTACTATGATTAATTATGGATATCAAGACATTACACATGAATTATAATAAATGGATTTTGAGTGAAGAGCATAACATTATAACATTACAGTACAATTGAAGCGCCCTGCAAATCATTACTTAAACAAGACAACCAGAGTTGTCTCCCATACCCCTGGGACAGATAGATATACCAAATGACATAGAGGGGAAAACTAACAACATGTACACTAGCCAGGGACATAGTTTATACTTTGATTCTTCAAGCTTCAATATCTACTAGATGTGTACGTGACATGGCGGAAAGTCACGTGACCTGAGTAACCCACAAACACCTGTCTTTGGACAAAATACTGCTTGCATCCTACACTAACTTAGAACATATTGCCAAACAGACAGTTTATACAGGTTAGGCAACATAATCATCCTATATGCATAACTGGAGCCCTAAAACTAGGGTCTTTACCATGAAGAACCTTCTCTACCATGTCGTCTGCCAACGCCTACATACCGTGCGGGTAGTGCGAACATGAAATAATGAAATTATTCGAACTAACCATTTTCCAGTGTTTACAAATATAGTATTTTCAAATCTAGGTTACCTTATTATATTATTAGGTACTTTATTACTTATAGTGCAGCCTTATTTCGACCATAAATTGTAATACAAGCCAGAAAACAATGAAGAAATCTGGGTCAGTATCTTTGTATTGTTAAGAACATGGCTGACAAAGCTGCATCAGCCAATGAGGTAAACACATTTGGTCGTGATGTGACGCTAATTAAGTTGCATGAACCTGGAAGACTGACAGAGTTGTTCCCCTTAGCCCATTGCCAAGACAAATGATACATGCTTAAAGAATTACTCTGGGCAAGATTTCCAGCAATGGGACACCAGTATGAGACACCAGTATTAGTTTGAATGTGAGGGGTAGGGGCCTTGAACAAATACATTTCCAACAGAAGAAAAGTACTTTATACAACACATACTCATTATAAAGGGTCGTGTTTTTGTCAGAAATACGGTAGTTGAACACTTAGGTTTGTTTACACTGAAGGGCGTGATGAATGGTGCATGTTGATTAATGATAGCAGAGTGCCGTTCTTATGTCGGATGAAATACGGTAATAATATTGTTTAAACTGTTATAGGGCGCGGTCAGTGTGTGAAGGTAGGCATTGATCATCCATCCATACAAGAATACAGGAAGCACACTGCCTGCTTCTTCGCAACGAAAACACTTGCAACATGCACCAGAGAGCGGCAGAAACAGGTGACACTTTCTGTGATGAAAGTTAAGAAGTTGCAAACGGCCAAAGGAAGGACAAGGTTTGGAACATGCAATGATGCATGCTTCGTCCCTGTTTTGACAGAATGGCCGCTCTGTGCGGGAAATAAAGACGTTGAGTGAAATATATGAATGAACTTACCTTCAGATGCATGTGCATAATCGTTCCCTCCGTCGATGGAGACGCGACAAGACCGAGGGAGCACGCGTGTGTTTGACGATGCCAGCCAGAGAGAAATTCCGTGTGTCGCCATTGCCAGCTGACGGAGGAAATGACGGCCTTGACATTAGTGATCTCGACTGTGATTGGTGCTTTGCCGCTTCCTTCCGGGTGGCTTGGTGCCGGCTGTCTAAACTGCGTTTTTTGGCGGTCGGCGCAGTGCCCAGATGCTCTCGGCGTAGCCGGTGGCCTTTGAGTGGCTTGGTACCGGCTGGCTAAACTGCGTTTTTTGGCGGTCGGTGCAGTGCCGAGATGCTCTTAGTGTAGCCGGTGTGGCCACGTGGTGGATTTGCGCGAAAAGTGGAAAGAAGTGGTCAAAAATGGAAAGAAGTCGACAAAAGTGGATCTACATGTACGATGAATAAAAGATATTTCCTATGTTGGGAAAAATAAAGTATGATTATGCAATAATTTGTTTTACAGACAACCGAATTGAAGATGTGAAGGTAAAATAATGCAGAGTATAAAACCTGAAGACGAGGTGTAAAATAAATGGTGACAATTGGAAAGAGAGTTAAAGCTGCATTGAATAGCAAAAAGCCGAAATAGCCCGAAAAACAGGAAAGGCAAGAAAGACAAGAAATAAGTATGCCACGAACGTCCAAGAAGTAAAATGAAAGTAGACTCAATATACTGACTTCGTTCTGAAACACTGTAAAATAGTTGCTAAAAAAAAATATATTTTGGTTGTGGAGATTTTTTTTTTAAAAATGTGATGAAACTCAAGTGAAGTGAAGTGAAGTGAAGTGAAGTGAAGTGAAGTGAAGTGAAGTGAGAATATTTGTAACTATATCGTGTTCTGTTCGAAAGCGAAGCGGTAACCATGGGCGTAAAAGCGGGGCCGGAGCGGGGTAAAAGCGGGGCCCGGGTAATGGAGCCAAAACAAGGGAAAGGGAGAAAAGCGATTAGTCGGCCAATGAAAAGAGAGCGATTCGATTGGCTCGGGTTGAGGGTTGAGAGTTGAGTACGGGGTTCATGTAGTATGTAAGAAGTCCCTTGAAAAAAGAGTTCCTATTAAAAAGGGGGTTTGCACCCAGTCAGGGTGTCCCCGAGCCAAAGCAAGCGGTGCCAAGAGACCGACGACTAAACCTGGAGGCACAAGCACTTCCGAAAGGACCGAAAAGGAGCCCGAAGTTGATTTCCAGACGGGTGTGAAATGTCTGGAAAACACCCTTTCTATTAATAAACGTTCGGATATAACGCGAGATTAATAAGATGACTGGTGGCGACATTAGGGCTGTGAAACAACACGTTCTGGCTTATGTGCCACAGGATCGTTTGTCTGGCCATGGAATAATTTCCTTGGAGGTTATAACCTCGCAGCATGCTCTCTTAACCACCGGTGCAGGTTTGCGTCCTGGGGCCTCCAATTGAATAGCATAGGTACGATGCACGTTGCATGATATTTCAAGTTTTTTAAATACGCCAAAGATGCCTAAACCACAAAGACAGATGCTATCGATTGATTTGAAAGCAGAAAGAGCAACACTGTTTGCTGGATATGAGTAATTTTTATGGAATGGTATATGTTATATTTACATAGGCCTTACCACATCTCAGGGCACTTTATGAAGTATAAATAAAAAAATACGTTTCGTTGATGTCATGACAACTGTTGTTTGATATAATGCGAAAGCCATGAAACATGTGGACAGTGCTTGACTATGTGCTGCATTTGCTACAGGAAAGCTGTTGGATGTTACGGATGGCCCTACCATGATGTTGAAATAGCGTGTTACTGATTAAAGACAGTTTCCTCTGAGAACGTAACATTGAAACACCTTGCTGTGTAGCGGTTCCGCGTTGTGGCTTCAGGCCACAGTTGCCTTGTGAACTTGTGTTAAAGAAGAGGCTTCAGGCCACGGTTGCCTTGTGAACTTGTGTTAAAGAAGAGGCTTCAGGCCACGGTTGCCTTGTGAACTTGTGTTAAAGAAGAGGCTTCAGGCCACGGTTGCCTTGTGAACTTGTGTTAAAGAAGAGGCTTCAGGCCACAGTTGCCTTGTGAACTTGTATTAAAGAAGAGGCTTCAGGCCACGGTTGCCTTGTGAACTTGTATTAAAGAAGAGGCTTCAGGCCACGGTTGCCTTGTGAACTTGTATTAAAGAAGAGGTGACTAAAACTCATACAGTATCAGTTAGGGAGACTGAACGGCTTTTGCTGGATAATGTTGCACAATGTTGAACAATGTTGCACAATGTTGCACATGATATTCATCATAGCTACTAAAGTTTCATCTGTTATCAGATGATTGTCAGCTGGGAAAGGCATAAGTGTACTGGCCCGGAACATCCATACACACGTCCACACGAGACAGGTGATTGTGCGGCGTCTCTCCTGTGTCTGAGAGACCTTTTGTAGACAGACAATACTAAAAATGGCCCGGGCCTGTCCTTGTCGTAACAGGGGTTGTGGATAGGACTGAACTGAGTGAAGCGGCAGAAAAGTATCTGAAAAATAGCCGTTCACCGAAACCAACTTGAATACTGCGGCTTCAAGCCTAATCCTAGATTTGAAGTCTAGCAAGCAAGCAAGCAAGCAAGCAAATAATTACTTCGGTTTGGCTGATGTCGACTTCCGGTTTGCCTTATTTATGGTTCCGGTGTGGCTTATTTCCGGATACGGTTTGCCTGATTTCCGCATACGGTTTGCCTGATTTTTCCGGTTCCGGTGTGCATTATTTCCGGTTCCGGTGTGGCTTATTTCCGGTTCAGGTTTGCCTGATTTCCGGTTCCGGTGTGCATTATTTCCGGTTCCGGTGTGGCTTATTTCCGGTTCCGGTTTGCCTGATTTCCGGTTCCGGTGTGCATTATTTCCGGTTCCGGTGTGCATTATTTCCGGTTCCGGTTTGCCTGATTTCTTGTTCTCGTGTGCCTTATTTCCTGTTCCGGTGTGCATGATTTTCGGTTCCGGTGTGGCTATTTCCGGTTCAGGTTTGCCTGATTTCCGGTTCCGGTGTGCATTATTTCCGGTTCCGGTGTGCATTATTTCCGGTTCCGGTTTGCCTGATTTCTTGTTCTCGTGTGCCTTATTTCCTGTTCCGGTGTGCATGATTTTCGGTTCCGGTGTGGCTATTTCCGGTTCAGGTTTGCCTGATTTCCGGTTCCGGTGTGCATTATTTCCGGTTCCGGTCTGTCGGACTTCCGGATCCGGTTTCCCTGATTTCTGGTTCCCGTGGTTCCCATGGTTCCCGTGGTTCAAGGGTGCATTATTTTCGGATCCGGTTTGCCTGATTTCTGGTTCCGGTTTGCCCTATTTCCAGTTCCGGTGTGGCCTATTTCCGGTTCCGGTCTGTCTGACTGACTTCCGGGTCCGGTTTGCCTGATTTCGAGTAACCGTGTGCATTATTTTCGGATCCGGTTTGCCTGATTTTCGGATCCGGTTTGCCTGATTTCTGGTTCCGGTTTGCCCTATTTCCGGTGTGGCTTATTTCCGGTTCCGGTTCCGGTTTGCTTGATTTCCGGTTCCGTCGTGCCTGATCCTGATTTCGGCCAGGCAACTGGTTAGTTTGTGGGGACGTTTGGTGCCCAATGCGTCATTATGTGTAAGTTGTTTCGGAATTGAAGAAGGGCCATATGTTTACTCCTCTTTTACACGTATTAATAATTGAATAACTATTGTTAACATCGACGGCCTGGATTCAAGTAGAATCTTTATTACAAAGGTTCGTGTGTATATAAGTTTAAACTGTGAGAGTGATGCCAATAGTGGCCTTGTAGACACCCTAACAACAAATAATTTAAATTCATGATTTTGATTTGATTTCTGAATCAAATTTAAATGTGTTTTGAAGTGCCAACTTTGTTCATGTTCAATGTATCAAGGCATTTAAAGTTTCTATCAACATTCTATCCTGTTTGCAGGTTTTCATAAAGAGGATAAAATAACACATTCTGTGTTGGCCCAATGGTTCACAGGTCTGAAGTGTCCAGCTGTGCAGGATACGAAGCCTTGCCAGGGCAGCTGGTCTGTGGTGCTGAGTGTGTCTATAGTTCATAAATATATAGTTCAAAACAGGACTAAATCCTAATAATCCATCGAGAATGACTCAGTACCTGTGTCACACTTTGCAAGCATGCGCATGTGATGTTTGTTCTGATTCTAAGGATCACATCACCCAAACAACAGCTAACCTAAGAAGATTTTTTGGAACATTTGGTCAAAGGATGCCAAAAGGGGTAGCCAAATTAGCCATAGTTCCCAAGCACACTCAAAATGGAGCCCAACCCTTGCCCTGGTTCCCTAACCCTAAGACACAAAATGGAGCCCAACCCATGCCCTGGTTCCCTAACCCTAAGACACAAAATGGAGCCCAACCCTTGCCCTGGTTCCCTAACCCTAAGACACAAAATGGAGCCCAACCCTTGCCCTGGTTCCCTAACCCTAAGACACAAAATGGAGCCCAACCCTTGCCCTGGTTCCCTAACCCTAAGACACAAAATGGAGCCCAACCCATGCCCTGGTTCCCTAACCCTAAGACACAAAATGGAGCCCAACCCTTGCCCTGGTTCCCTAACCCTAAGACACAAAATGGAACCCAACCCATGCCCTGGTTCCCTAACCCTAAGACACAAAATGGAGCCCAACAAATGCCCTGGTTCCCTAACCCTAAGACACAAAATGGAGCCCAACAAATGCCCTGGTTCCCTAACCCTAAGACACAAAATGGAGCCCAACCCTTGCCCTGGTTCCCTAACCCTAAGACACAAAATGGAGCCCAACCCATGCCCTGGTTCCCTAACCCTAAGACACAAAATGGAGCCCAACCCTTGCCCTGGTTCCCTAACCCTAAGACACAAAATGGAGCCCAACCCATGCCCTGACACCGGAACCAGAAATAAGCCAAACCGGAACTGGAAATCAGGCACACTGGAACCGGACATCAGGCACAATGGAAGTGGAATGCAGGCAGGCAGGCAGGCAGGCAGGCAGGCAGGCAGGCACACCCAGCTCACCTCGCACAGTGTATAGTGAAAACAATAGCAATAGGCATTACATGTATCCAGTATGTACCCTATGAAGATACCAGGACTCACAAGTTCCACAAAGGAGCAGGAAGGGGAGGGGGTTTGGTAGAGGAGGGAGAGGGGGAGCGGTCGTTTCTGTCACCTGGGGTGGGTTGGGGGTGTCATCCCATCCCATGGATCTGGTCTCCAGGGTGAGACACAATGTCATGTCACAGACAGTTACAGTAACAGGCGATCGACAGATACTGGAAGAAAGTCACACTGACCTACTATTGTTATCATTAAATTGCCATACACAACTTTCCTAATTGATGCCCCAAGGATAGCATGACCTTGGGTAAAGAGCGTGGCTTCAAAAGCAAAATGATCGATTTCTGACTAAATCTGAATGCATCCTTCCCATTTACTTGGCTGCTAATTTATTTTATTTTTTTTATTTTTTTTATTTGGGGTGGGGTGGGGTGGGGTGGGGTGGGGGTGGCGGTGGGGGTGGCGGTGGGGGGTGTTTGTTGTTTAACGCCAAACTCAGCAATATCCTAGCGATAGGATGGCGTTCTGTAAATAATCGAGTCTGGACCAGACAATCCAGTGATTGACATAATGAACATCGGTCTAGGTAACTGGGATACAATGAGATGAATCAATAAATTCACGTCATTTGTCGTGTTTAGAGTAAACGTTAGTCAACTTACAGTGTTACTTTTACTTCAATTATTTGAGTTGATTCTTTTGTTTGACTTTGACAGTGACTCAGTAGTTACAACAAAGTTTAGCTTAATATTGTAGATACATTATTACTTTGTCAGGCTTTCAGCTGTGTGCAATCTACAGCCTACATCTTACATACCAACTTGGTGAGGCCTTGTACAGTTGATCATATACCTTATAGTCAGGTTTTACCTTGACTTACAAAAGTGGGGGCCAAGGGGACCCCTAATAATGAATTTTAAGGGTCCTTGCAGACAATATGAGGGTCCTGTAAGTGACGAAATGGTGTAGAGTACTGTAACAGATAATTACTTTACACTGTAAAAACTGTGTTTAGAATGTAAACACACAAGACATCTATAGATCTATAAACAACAACAACGACGACAACAACAACAACGACAACAGTCTGTCTCCGTAGCACAGGTAGTAAGAAGGACTACCAACCAAGAGCTTGCGGGTCCGTATGTAAAACTATTATTAAACATATTCCATCAGTGTCTTGTTGGCTATAACTAACGACACTTCTCTCTGGTGGCAATGAAGTTATACCTGCTTACCGTAATAGGCACTAAACATTGTTAAGTTAGGCCTATACATGTCAAAATTATGGGACAAGGAACATTTGTTCCAAACACATTTTACACAGTGTAGAGCCTGGAATGAATCAATGACCACGTGGACAGTGGTCATTATTGGTGGATAAAATGACTGACGCCCATAACTGTTCCCATTGGCTGAAGGCACAATGAATATTGTGAACCTGCATGGTCACCTGGATTAAACTTCCAAGGGCAAATCCACAATCCACAATCCACTACCCCATACACCCAAAACACCCGGTAGTCAAATTCGTATATTGCTTGTCAAACCTTTCAATCCACATGGGTATTACATCCATACAGGCTCACGCACCTGTCTACAGTCTGTCCAAGTGTTATAACGTGGCTAGGGCAGATTCACCATAGACTTCTCGTCCACCGTGAGTTGGAGCGACTGTATTGCACGTGGTTGAAACGTGCTTGACATGACACAGTTGGGGGTACACTGAACAGCAGAAACTTGGCAATATAAACTCCTGTTGTCTGTATATAATGCAAACAGCCAGGGGAATTGGGGATAAAATACTCTTGCACGTCCCCATACTCTCCATATAAGATCCTGGAACTTCATTTTGTAAAAGCTTTTAAACTTTATAATCCACATTTTCTACCATACTCCAGCAACACACTTTCAAATCACAAAATCTAACATAGATTTTGTAAATTCTTTTGAACGTAAAATATAAGTATGGTAAAATGAAATATTGAAACTATGGTGAAATATATGTCATGCCAAACAATTCACATATTTTAATTATTAGGCTTGTGTCGAGGTGATCAAATCACAATTTATTATTACAAGTATGAGGGGAATTACACGCCAAGGTGAGCGGAATTTGTAGAAACTGAAGCATTGCCAGTAACACGACCAGCTGGATTACCTGTCCTTTTATAGCTATTATTGTTGACGTTTTATGACGAAGGACTGGTGACGTTGAATAATTTCCCGTCTGTAATTGGCTAATGTCAAATGGCTATTCTGTTCCCTTCTGGTCTATTGTTAATGTCAAATTTTGTTTCGTCACTATATGGCAGAAATACTGCCGATGTGACGTTAAACTTTAACTCACTCACTCACTCACTCACTCCCTTCTGCTCGTTCCGACTGCCTGTCACGTGGCGTCCGGAAGTAAGCGGAATTACCTACTGGTGTCGACTCTATAGTTTAAGAAAATCTGCATTGTGTGTAAACAGTCATATTTGGACCAGACAATCCAGTGATTGGTGTAACGAGTAACAGGCAGTGTCAGCCTACTCACTGAGCCTGCAGACCAACCCATCCATTGACTTGCCTCCTTCCATTGCCACTGGCACAGGTTGATGGGGATCAATTCTACCCCTGAGTACCGAGTACAACCACCACCCCCACCCCAAACACCCCCCCACCCCACCCCAACACCACCCCACCCAACCTCACCCACCCCACCCCACCCCACCCCACCCCCACCCCCAAACACCCCCCCACCCCACCCCCACCCCAAAACACCCCCAAACACCCCACCCCCACCCCACCCCAACACCACCCCACCCAACCTCACCCACCCCACCCCACCCCACCCCCACCCCCAAACACCCCCAAACACCCCCCCACCCCACCCCAACACCACCCCACCCAACCTCACCCAACCTCACCCCCCCCACCCCACCCCACCCCCACCCCCAAACACCCCACCCCACCCCCAAACATCCCCCCCCCCCCCCCCCCCCCCACACACACACACACACACACCTCCCTCCCACAAGGAAAGCACAATCTATTTTAATAAAGTAAGAC